GTGTTTATTTAAAAAATTATTTAATCTGAAGTGAATCAAGCGTTCAAAAATTTTCGAAAAACAAGGTAACAAGGATATGGGTCTGTAGTTTTCGAAATAATGAGGGTCATCTTTTTTGTAAATTGGAACTACTTTGGCAATCTTGAGGGAATCAGGAAAAATACTATTAATAAACGAAGAATTAAAAATATGGCAGAGAGGACCTGAAATAGAATTTGAAATATTTTTAATAATAGAATTTGAAAATCCATCATAGCCAGAACTTTTGTTTTCTTTTAAATTATTAATAAGGTCATGAATTTCATTAACGGAAATTGGATTGAGAAAAAAAGAGTCCTTAATGGGCACTGGAAGAAATGAATTGTAGGTTTCCACTCCAATTGGTTTGACAATAGTATTTGCAAGGGTTGACCCGATATTAATAAAGTAATCATTAAAGTTATTAGAAATAGTAAAAGGATCGGATATTTAGCAATTATTATGATTAAAGTATGAAGGCAGAAAAATTTTAGTCTTCTTACCAAGGACAGAATTAATAGTTTGCCAGGTCTTTTTAAGGTTAGATTTATATTGGTTAAATTTATTTTTATAATAATTAGATGCGGAGATACGAATAAGGTTAGTCAATTTATTACGATATTTTGAATATTTGAATTTATCAGAGTCTTTACCAGTTTTGATATATTTTTATATAACTTATTTCTGGTGTCAATGGATTTAATAATAGCATTGGTGATCCACGGTTTGCGGTCTCTACGAAATTTGCGCCTATAACGGTATGTTTTAATATTTTTATTTATCATATACTTAAGTTTGTCATGAAACAATTCATAAGCAAGATTAGGATCAAAAATGATAGAATAAATGTCAGACCAATCAGTGTTGAGGAGATCCTCATTTAGGGCAGCTAGTGTGTTAACATTAATTTTCTGCAAATAAATATACTTAGAGTTGTTTTTATTTAAGGTAAAGGAAACTAGAATGAGTAATGGAAAAAACAGGAAAATGATCAGAAATATCTGAGTACAGTATACCAGGCGAAATTTTAAATTTAATATCATTACAAAAAATATTATCAATTAGTGTAGCTGTCGTTTTGGTGATTCTTGTGGGCCTGTTTATTAATGGATAAAAATTAGAATTAAACATAGTACTAAGGAATTCACTAGTTTTAGTGTGTGAATTGCATTTTAGTAAATCTATGTTGAAGTCACCACATAAGTAAGCAATTTTATTTTCTTTATTAATGGTATCAAGAATACTAGAGACCTCCGTATTAAATAAACATAAGGGAAGCTGAGGTAGAGGGTAGATTACACCTAGGATAAAGTTTTTAGGTTTTGCATTAATTTCAATAAAAAGGGATTCAGAATCAGAAGAAATAATACAACTGAGGTCATTACGAAGGACATATTGAAGCCTCTGGTCTAGGTATATGGCGACACCACCCCCTGATCTCTCGGATCTCGAAACGTGTAATAGTTTATAACCAGGTATATTGTAAAATGCAAAATTGGTCTTGGTTGAATTAAAATAAGTTTCAGTAAAACATAATGCAGTAAATGAATGATTAATCGCGCTTAAAAAATTGGTAGTATCCAAGAAATGTTTTACCAGGCTACGTACATTCATATGAAATAGACTAAATGATGAATTTACATGCGTAAAATTAGAATTAAATATATCAAAAAAATGATAGTTGCATGGATCATTATTATCTTGATATGAACCATTATCAAAGTCATTAAGGCCACTTATGGAAACATCGAAGGGATTTAATATAAGTGATTGAAGTCTATCAAAGTCTATTTTTTGGTCCATAAAAAAACAACTAAGTTCATTTAGGAATTCTTTATCGTCGATAATATTATTCAATGGAAAAATATCACCAGTACAAGAGAAACATATCTAGTTCTTATCATAATTGGCACAAGAATTATGAACGGGTTTATCACACACTACGCATCTAAACAAGCACGTGGTTATGCTTTTGTTACATAAAACACATACCATTAGAAGTAGATAATCCTGTATGACTAAAGGAAACAAGTACATGCATTATGAACAATAAAGATCTGGATATTCTGAATGAATATAAAAATAAAAAGTTAACAAAACAAGA